TTGAAAGTATGGTTCCGTTTTGTTTCTCGTGAATTCGCCGCGTGTGAACGGTAAGTCGAGCCGAGCCGAGCCGAGCCGAGCCCACGAGAACTGTGCATTCGAGAGCGGTCCACGACAATCGCGGCTGTAACTCTCTCGGCGAGCGACAAGAGAAATTCTGCGGATAAGTAAAGCGCATTTCGAAATTCGTTCGGATTCCTTGCGAATAATCGTCCTTTATGTGGACCAGCGCGTCTTGCGCGCTGGTTACGAAAATATTGCGACGACGTTCGTGTAGGTGGAACGAGATCGTATAATGAGGAGAGAAGGTGGATATAAAAGAAGTAAAAGGCATAACGCTGGCACAACCCTGCAACCCGTTGCTCAATTATTGCCAACATTTAATACGTCACTAAGTAGCTTACGCGATTAGCGAATTATGTAGAGGCAGTTTAGGAATTTTCTTAGTAAAGAAATATCGTACGCAATATCATTCGTCGTATTAAAAGTTCGCGGTATACATCGTATTGATATTTCCATAAACTGTAGAATTGCCCTCGTAAAATTATCATTATACTACTCCGCGCGTTTATTTCGAGCCTGTATTTACGAAACTGTATGACATTATTGCGTAATGTACTTGCTCGTTATCCGGTACGCCGAGCAAGTGCAAATATATCTCTCGGCAATTTCACTTTCCCAAAGTCGAAACATTCGGTTAAACACCTATTGCGTTCGTAGATGTATAATAATTTATGCGATAATAATAATATTCAGGATATAGCTCACACGTTCGGTCGTAACAATAAGACTTCATAGTAGTCATTGTCCTGAATTCCTTTCGGTTAAATGTGAAGTTTCTCCGTGAGGGAGGAGGGATCGGCTGCCACGCCATGCCACAACTAATGCAAATATCCTCTGGCAGTCGGAAGGCCAAGATTGACGTATATCACGTATGATAATCAGACAATCGTAGAAAAAAGTTAAAATCACATTATTGTATCTGCGTGTCCGATCTTTTTTTGTATTTAATAGGAATAAATTACGATTTAGCGATTTATCGATTACCTAAAAAAATTACGTACAAAAAAAAGTGAAACCATTAAATATTTTTCATTAATTTAATACTAATTGTAAGTAATAATTAATGAATTCCAATAATTTTTATTTTTTAATATTTTTTTTTTTTCGGTTTATTCTTGTAGAAATTACAATACGTTTGATAAAATTCACACGCGCGTGTACATATTTAATCAAATATATTTAATTTGAAATATTTTAATTATATGATTAACTTTTTAACGTCATGTAAAAGAATTAAATATTTTCATAAAAATTAACTTGCAATTTTTTATGTCGCGACTAAATCCAGTTTTTCTTTGCTGATAGAAACGCGTTTCTCGCACGGATAACCCACAGTAAGCAGTTGAAATAAGCTGTTGCTGTCTGCTAATTCTGTGTCACATGCATGCGCGAGCTATTCAAGTGGCAGCATATAGTTAATCCAGTATTAAGTGGCTTATGACCGGATCGAGGTCTCCATGTGCGACTTGTAAGTCTCGCATTTTCTCGTTGACAACGCTCGCACCTAGTTGGCATGACTCGTGAATTGTAACTACTGGAAATACTGAATGTCCCTGAGAATTATCTATTGCTTCATCTTTCATCTGGGAATTATCTGACTAATTTCGATCTAATTTCGATTATGCATATATACGATTATCGATCTGAATGTAATTGGATCATTTTAAATATTTCATTTTAAATAACTAAGCCTTAAATTAATATCTTTTATTTGAAATAGTGAAATTCATTAAGTATCTCGAGACAATTAAAAAATAAGAGATCTTGATTTTTCTGTGTATGTATTTGTATTAATTTGTATTATAATTATATATACATTAATATATTATATATAATTTATACTGTATGATATTTGTCCAATTATTTCATTTTTTATTATTTATAATTAAACATTTTATTATCTATAATTAAAAATTTTGTTAATGTCTTCGACATTTGTTAAGAAAGAATACATATCAAATTAATCAAAATATTCTTGGACATTATATAGTTATATACTCAAGGAGTTATATATTAGCGCGGGACTTTGAAGCTACATTTGGAAAAACACGTATAGTCATGAATTGACGTCGCGAAATTAGCTGCGGATTTGTATCTGTTTTGCCTTGAATGTTTCGTCTTTTTCTTGTGTGATAAAACGGAAATGTTTGTCCGATCAGAAAGACAAAACACAAGGACGAAACGAACGAGGACTAAAGACAAGACAAATGTATTCACTCGTTGTTCTTGGTCAGACTATGCAAAATCTGTGACAAATGAGTCAGTTAGCCATGTAAATTTTTCGTCGCAAAAATTTGTATTTTCGATTGTATTTTCAAACGCTATTATAATTACATCCTTAAAGTTTTATATTTTTTTAAGTGTTTTCTTAAATGCTATGTTCTTTTTTATATGTGAATCGTATACATTTCTTTAGTAAATATAAATCCATAAAGATAAAAACATTAAAAAAAAAATCTCGAAACGGAATATACTTAAACGTGCAAGGAAAATAATATGCATATAATATGAAAATGAAAATTCGAAAAAGATCAATACGGAAATGTCGATCGTCTTCCATTAATAGTTTGCGAGAATCGCGAGAAAAGTGGCGCTGAGACATGTGAGTCATAATCGAGAATAGATCGAAGGATAGATCAGTGGATCTGCGACGAATCCATATAGGGTACGGACAGGTCCTCGCGAGTGATCGGTGCCACTTATGGCGAATCTTAAGAATCCACTTTCGATTTCTATACGGTCGCGATCATTCGCAGCATATAAATGGAATCTTGTTGCGTATAAACACAGTCTAGACGTATACATACGGTCTCACATTGCATATACAAAGGTGTATATGCATACAGACTGAAAACAAGAAAAAGGAGTATGAGAAAGAGAAAGAGGTCATCTTTTTCGCGTGTTAGTTTCTTTGTGCGGGAGCAAAGGGCCTTCTTCTCTGCTCACCGCCGCCGCCACTGCTGCCTCTCTCGATGAGATATTACGAAATTCAACATCTTTTATTGCGCACCATAGGAGTCAGATTTCTCTCCTGAAATAACGCTTCTCCCCTGGCTGCCTTCCTGCTCGGTCGTATCGACTGCCTCCCGTATTCCAAGATTTCAATGTATACGCCAATAAGACCCGTGTAAATCTACGGATTAATCGTGTCGAACGGCATCGTCTCTTATTTGCTGTCTCTTGCAGTCTCTCTCTCTCTCTCTCTCTCTCGCTCTCTTATTTAGTATCGTCTGGCGAGAAGTAATAAATCGGGAAAGGTGATCTCCCTATTTTTTTCTGAAGAGAAAGAGGAAACAGTAGCATTCTCTTCATTGCGCGTTGGATGCTTCTCTTACGAGATATGCTGTTTGATATATTTATGCAGTATGTAGGCAGTTAAAGGCTCGAAATTTAAGGTTTGTTTATTTATTTTATCATTGTTAAATTGGTAGTACGGTAATTTAATCCCTATCGTAATATAAAGCCTATCGTCATCAAAATGATACTCTAAGAAGAGTCCTGCTAATGAAGTCCAAAATTGTATCACATTATAAACTAATAACTTAACAGCATTCAAATTCAATTTTTCCAGCAATTGTATGAAGAATACAAATAGTTGATATTATTTCCATAATTTTTTGTTTTACGTGCTACTAAAAAATATTATAAATTATTCAATATTTTTATAGTATTTTCCATAAAATGTATCAATTAATGTAAAATGAAAATTTCGAAAATAAAAAATTCATTACAATGATCAATTATTAATTAATTTATATATACATAGTTATTAATTAATCAATAAAGTAGAACTGAATTGCGATTTGTAGTAATTACAAGTATACGATTGAATCAGAAAGTAATGATAAATTCGAGTTTTCAAGAGAGAAAAGAGGAGTTTTTGTTGTTTCCATCATTGACATCACTCACGCTGATCGAGCCAGACGACTGATGCGATCAGCATCACCAAATACGAGGCTACACCTTGATTAACATCCAGCCGGCGCGCCGTGCACCGTGCACGCGTCATGTGTACCAGTAGGGCACACACGGTGCAGCGATCCAATCGTTGGCGCGCATCCAAGTCGAGGCCGCGGTTGTGCGTACAGGTCGTAATTAAAGGACTGATCTATCGATCCTTTCGGATCTGTCGACATGCCGGACGGCTACTTGTGCCGCCGATGCACGTGCATGCGCGTAACGTACGTTTTATATATATATACGGTACGGTACGTATGTACGTGCGCGCACGCTCCCGTGGTGTGTACATGCGGCGGCCATATATGGTGCAGAGACGTTAGCGGTCAGTCCACCGTATGGTGGTAGCAACGCGCCCGCTACCATCTTTATCTCGGTCACGGCGACTCCGTGAAAGTGAGAGCCGGCCGAGTGAGAGCCTCCCTCTCCCCGTCTCGTGATGCCTCGCGCGAGTAGTACTCGCATGCACGTATTATCCGAGCAATTCTCCTTCGTTGCGTGACCGCGCCGTTTGTCTCTCTCTCTCTCTCTTTACGTTCCGTTCGTACATTCATTTGCTGCCTCTTTTTTTCTACTTGACATTTTTCCAGTTTTATCTGCATCCTCAACGTATTTCCGCCGTTCGCGAGAATGTGCATTCATGTGCATTCTCTATGTCGGTCAGACGATCGTCATTAATGCATTAACATGTATTAAGAAATATATATACAATACGAGTTGATTATATTAATATTATACTTAAATCATTTTTGCGAAATTATTGCGTGGGAATCTTAATGTTCCAAAACAAGATGCATTTAAATAAAAAGAATTGAAAATTGATGAACTTTCTGCTATTTTTCGTCTCTTTAGCATTTACCATTCACATCAGAAAGTCCCTGATTGCTCCTCTTTGTTAAAAGAGAAAGTTAATCTTCTCTTCCCTTCCTTCTTATTTTTTTCTAAGAAATTATTAATTTGTGGTTACTATTTGATTACAGGTTTCCAATTAAAATACGTCGAGCTGCAAGTTCGGTAATTGATAGTCAACGAAAAGAATTCATTTTCGATGGATTTCACGGGTGAACATAGTTGGTGAGTATTACAATTATTACATATCATAAATGCATTTTAGTCTTGGTCTTCACGCTCGTAGCTTTCTAATTCTTGACAGATTTGAACGATAAGATAGTGAAATTTTTATATTGATGATTAATATTTCCAGAAATTAAGAAAGTAATATTTCTAGTGAATGGATTCACCTGACAAGTAATCTAATTTACGTTTTTTTTTTCATTTTTTTCGTTCTTCTTTTTTAGATAGACTTACCACAATTGCTTTTTTTATAAACAATAATGTTAAAAGAAGCTTTTCTTTATTTGCGAATTTATTTGATGTTTGACTGTGAAATCGATTTCATGCGAAATCGGCCTTAACCTTGAAATTTACGCGATGTATGCGGCTTGTCCTTGCTTTTTCATTCTTGCTTCTTTTTGTCTCATGTCTCTTCATCGTATTTCTTTCATTTTTTTTTGGTGTGCACTGCCTGTAACTTGATCCAGTCCATCGGTTAATTCACTAGCGGACCCATTCTCGAATATGTTCCATGCAAGTTTTGACTGATTACATGTTAGCCGCGTCTAATTCGCATGTTAATGTCTCGTGAAAGAGTACCGTAAAAGAGTAATCTTAATAAACCATGAAATTTCATTCACGACTGGAAATACATTGAATCGTTTTTGATTCCCAGAAGAAATATTGCACACTTATTAATATATAACACGTTCTAACAGAAAACAATTCCAAAAGTATTTTAAGAATGACAATTTTTATGTTATTTTAAAGTAACATATTTTATTTTTAATAAATTGGAGTGTGATATATTATATGTATACATACATTATCTTTACTATGTTAATGCATTTTAATACAGTTGATATATCTTTTTATTTTTATCTATAATTATGTATAATATATTTACATGCATATATGTATAAGATATTTAGAGAGAGAAACTAATACTAAATATATGCATATTTTCCATTGCATATACAGAATCCTATATACTTTTTCATCACTAAAATAATATAGTAAATATTCAATTTTACGTAATTATGGGTGCAAAAAAATTTTTTTGTACTTATATAATCAAATTTTTTAAGCGATTAACTGAAAAATGGCTCGATGCGAGTCTAGCCATGTTTATTTGTCTTTTCTTGACTTCGAATGATTTATCTTTCCCTGCTTGAATCCAAACGATTCGTCTGATTAAATTTGTCTACTTTACTTGATTTTGAACTGATTCCTCTAATTTCGTTAGTCTATTTCTACTTGAATGCAAAAGATTCATGACCACGTTTATCTGTCCCTACTTGAATGCGATTATATTTATATTGTTCGCGGATCAATTTGTGCATTAGTGCGAGTGCTACCGCGTAAGATTTTTTCCACTTCATCTCCACTTACGGTAGCAAATGTGCTTTAACAAATAATCGCTTCACTTAAGAACTTTATCGTCTTTCGACGTTGTTTCGAAACATCTCCACTTTATCTTTCATCGTGGGCACTTTCTTCGTGGCGCAATCCTGCGCGCATGGATATTCTTTTAAATATTGTCGGAATATCTATATCTCTCTCTCTCTTTCTCTCTCTCTCTCTCTCTCTCTCTCTCTCGCACCTCTCTCTTTCTTCGCATAATGGGTATCTCCGGTATTCATCTGGCAACTGCTGTATCGCCGATCAGAGGCCGTTTAGATTTATGCAACGGCAACGTGACACATTCCAACATATTCCGACAGCTGACAGCGCAAATCCATCGTGTATTTATGCAAGACTTCTATCGCATATATAATATGTACTTGAGCAAGCATTAAGGAGATTTGTTGCAGGATCTCCAGGATTGATCTTGAAATGAGGAAGCTTGATTTATAAAGCAATAACTGAAATGTATCTTTCAGAATGCTCTTTTTCGCACATAATTGCCATTAGTGCCTATATAAATAATTTGTTTTGTCGTAGATAATCTTTAAACATATATATAGTCTTTAATGACCACAGCGTACATCCAAGCTTATTATTTAATTACTCATATACCAAATTATTACAAATTTCTAACTAATATAAATATATTTCTTAATTTATCTTTTATGATAAATAATGAATAAATTAAAAATAAAATAAATAAAAATAATTACTATAAGTAACAAATGAAAATAATAATTCCTCATACCTTCCTTTTCTCACACGCACTCCAAAATTTCTATTATGTGGTGCAATGTGGTGCTTGGAAAGCATAATGTGAACCTCGGCGGATTCGCCAGCACGTAAAAAACGAATAATTACATCAGCATGATCTACCACACCTGAACATAAACCCGACCGCGAGAAAGATCGGTTTTTAAATCTGTAACGAATCCGCGATCCGGGAGCCTGCTCTATCTCGATGAAAGATGCAATGGTTTGTTTTCCATTTTTCCCAGCCCGTGCCTTTTTTCTCTCTTTATCTCGTCGTTAGAGCGTGTGAGAAGGGAATTGTGTGCACGCGTTTTCAGCGATAACGAAATAATCATCGGTGCCGGAGCGTGGCGTAACTTATGGCTTGTCGATTTATCGTTAGGATTATCTGGACTATATCTTCGTTAGGGTACCTGTCGGTCGCTCGGTATCGATCCGATCTACCACGCCTCAATATATAATAAGCATTCCGGATGGGAAAAACAATGCTTTCAGTTTGCGTAACGCTGCGTCGCAGTTTTGCGATTCGGGAGCGTAGCTAGAACGCAAGAATATTAATGCGTTTACAATATTTCTTTTCTCACATTTTGCGTTTATTTAATTTTTTTTCATGAAAACTTAAAATGCTGATTTTCGGAAAAATATATCTAATTCCTGTTATTTCAAAAGATTAAAAAAAAAACACTTCTTATTACTTATATAACACATATTTATTATCATAAAAACGTAATTATTTTTTTATCAGTGCCTCATAAATATAAGAAATAATTTTATTTCTAGATATTTCTAAATATTTGCATTATATATTTATTTTAAATTCCATTTTTTAATATAAAAATGTGCTTAAATAACTGCACGAAACGATTGTAATATCGATAAATATTTACCTAATATTATTTACGATTATTTTATATCCTTTCGCGCTGATAGACCGATCGCAATGCTTTTACTTAGAGAACAATGCAAGTTCACCAGCATGCCCGTTGCCCTGAAAAAGCTACATTCAACCTGCCACTCCTCGCTTCTCTTTATCTTCTCTGGGAATAATCGACAAGTCCGAGAAGAAAAATTATATATCTCCTTCGAATAACATTGTAAGGAAACGCGATTAAAGAAATGTATTGTATGTTCAGTTGTCAAATCGTACGAGAATATTGACACGCCGTGGACTCATTGAACTGACTGCTCACACGATAAAAATAGTTGGGAACACTTGTAACACAACTAAAGCCTAAAGGCACGCGGTGCCTTTTTTCTCGCTGGATCGCTTGCGTTTTAGTAAATTACTAAAATTGCACTATACACAGTACTAACATAGAGTTTCTAGTAATTTACTTAAAACGCAAGTAATTCAGCGGGAAGACACGCATCGCGTGCCGCAGGCTTAAGACTCGCAATTATTCGTTCGCGTTAATCCGTCTACGGGGGGGTACACCCGGCGATATTTCCGCGCGAACAAGGAGAACAATGCGAGTTTGCGCGGACCCTTGAAAGCCTTGGAAAGGTGGGTTACATCGGGGGGGTTCGATCTACCACGCCTAGGTACAAGAGCGCGGGCCTCACTTCTAGGCGAGAAAAACGACGTTTTAAATCGCTCGGTTGCGAGCAAGAGCTGTACCGAGTGCTGCGTTGCGCACTGACCAGCGCACTGCCACGGAGCGAAATGAGTTATGCTCACTGCCAGGCTATTGGCATTCGTGTCGTGTCGTAAATCGGAGCTGACACCTCCCAGAATGAAATCAGTGGTTGTCAGTGCGCAACGTCGGCACGCCGGCGTAGCAGTCGATAGTTCACAGCCGTGATTTCGCAAAGCTCGCAGCAAACCGCAGCTTGCGGGTTGGCAGGTGTCCCTTACTTAACCGCCGATCACGCCTAGAATCGCGAGCCTTTGTATTTTTTCCGACGAGAAGTATTGCGGAATGTTATTATCTACAGAGAGCGAGGTCGCGAAGGGAATTAACACTTATTATACCGGATGTTCGAGAAAAATACCCTACATTTCGTTCGCAGCTTTCTATTTAATTATTTATTTGAACAGAGCGTTAATTACCGCAGTCTCGATTGTTTTAAAAGTATAAATGTCGGAAAATATCAAAGGTGAAATTAGAAAAATCGCAGTTTAAAAGGGAAAAATAATTATTTTATCACAATTAGACAAATTATCATTACATCCATAAAAATATTAGAAGAAATGGTAATATAAGAGGAAAAACAAAATTTTTTTCCTTCCTTTATTTAACATTAATTTAGAATCGCCCAATGATACTCGCTCAAGAATCTCGCCCCGCCTCTTTCGGGACGATAATATGATAACGTGTATATATATAAAGAGACGTGGAAAATTTACAAGTGTCCAACGCACGTTAACTAGCATAAGTGCCGGAAATCTGTGCGGCCGTACAATTTATTATCACGACGTACGCGTCGACGAGTGTAGCGAGAGTTTCGCGTGACGGTATTTGTCGTGCGAATGGATGTGTTACGAGACAGCTTAATAATATGATCGTGTGACATTTCAATAATAATACCTACCGCCATTTCCCTTTTAGTCGTAATGATAGGATATCGATAGAGCAAAAATGGAGAGAACTGCGCGCGCGCGCGCGCTCGCGGATGCACGACAGAAGGTCGACGGCGACGATGACGATGACGAGGAGAATACAATGTGTGTTCGTAATTTATCGTGCAAGTGTATGCTGTATACAATACTGGCATTGCATCAACGAGCTGCTGGAATGCTGATTATAACGTTTCGCGTACACGCGAGACTACACTTGTAATTATTAATCGTGCCCCTTTTTTTATTTTATTATTCTCTCTTTTTCAACCAAGTGTAATCAAATTGAAGGTACATGAAAACGCGTGTAGAGTTGTATGTAGATTTCTGAAGTATTAAAATATATTAGCAATATACGTATTTTTATTTACTAGATATCACGCTATCAAATCTCTATAATAGAAAAATAGAAAAACGAGGAAATTACATTAGATATTTTTAAGTTTTGTAAAATATTTTTCATAATTATTTATTTTACTGGATTTATTTTACTGGAAAGATCAGTGAAAGT